GAATTACACTGAGAATGCCAAAGAGGTGAGATAAAATAGAGGTCATGCTAACAGCTTAATATATCCAAATGTGAGAGAAGGATTAATAGGAAAATACATTGGGATATTCAAATAAGCCAGTTGGGAGAGAGGACTTTTAAGAATGTTTCTAGTTCTAAATCAATGATACTAAGAAGAAACAGGTACTAAAAAAGGATGTAATAAAACATACTAGTTAAATTAGAGAATGAAAAATTAAGGGATTAGTTTAGCCCAATGGCTGTGTAAACTCTACTATTCCTGTCTGATCTCTGAGTTTCCAGGCCTTGTCTATAATCTGAGGATCAGACCACCTAATTAATGATACTGTGATTAAATCGAGATTATCTACATGAAGCCCTTGGTAGGTGCTGCTGGAATATATGTTTAGGAAAACTTTAGCTTCTCTAATTCTCTGTGAATGCTAAATCCCTTCCCATCCTCCATTCCAGAGCTATTAAAAAATGTTTACTGAGTGCCTAGTTTGTGCTAGGTGTTTGGAATGCATCAGCAAACAAACAGGTAAAAAGTTCAGTACCTGCAGAAGTTATATTCTAGTTCTAAGCTTGGATCTCAATTTTCTCAAGTCTGAGATAGAAGGCTCTGACTCTGTTTCTTCCATCAGAACACAATGGATTATATTCACACTATGTACCCATCAACTCTCTTTTCCCCACAGAGTGTGAGCACGATGAGATAGTGATACCACTGGATCACCATTTTCTTACACAATGCATGGCCCCTAGATGATGAATGCATGAATAAAGAGAGTGAGCTGCTATTCACTGTTCCTGGTTTGATTTATATTTTACTTTATCTATCTATCTATTTATTTATCTAAAATTTTCCAGATTCTTCACTTTTTAGAGAAACCCGAAGAAACCATGCAATCTAACAAACACAGTGTTCAAAGAACTTCAACAGCAAAGTTGAGAAACAGAAGCTCCCATGCTCCTTTTTCCCAGTCAGAGGCATAAACAACTGGCTGTGTAATGTTCACTCCTGGGCCCCAAAGGTCATCACAGGAGCTGATTTTGGGCTGATGGATTTTGACTTGAAATCTTGGCTTCTTCCTGCTGCATTGAGAAATTTGAACAGATTGGATGTATTTCTCAGCATGAAAATTCTGTCTTCAGAATACTGCAGTAGGAGGTAGTATTGTGTAGTGGTTAGGAAGGCGGAATTTGGAATTAGATTTGGGCTTTAAATTTCATTATGCCATTATTAGCTATATGAGATAGGATAAATCACTTTCAACTTCAACTTTCTCACCTGTTTCACAACTGCATATAAGAAACTTAAAACAGTAAATAGTAGATGGTTGTCACTAATATTGCTATTGTCCACAGATTACACATTTTAGTAGGGAAGCCAGAGCAAGGGAGTGTTCTTTGGGGACCAATTATTATAGACAGTCCCTGCTGACACCTTTTTGCTACAGAAAAGTATACACATTGCTTGCCATCTAAAACACTTTCTCTGGATCTATTCACATAGAAGAGTTCAATGTGTTGGCACCTCATTTTACAGATATGGAAACTGAGGCATAAATAGATGCTGTCATGTGTCTTGATGTTACATGGTGAGTTATTTAGTAGCAAAGCTGGTATTGATTCTCTTTACTTTTGATAGTGTCAGTTCTCATTCAATGGAGGGGTTTGGCTTAAGAGAAACGGAGACATTCCACATTTCCTCCTTGTCTTGGCAAAGTAATCAGTCTACTAGAAACTTCTATAGGGTTAACACAGAAAGCTCTCCCTTCATTAATGTCATACCTTGGAACACTAGTGTAGATAACAGAAAGAATAAATATTTTTGTTGAGAAAAAAAATGAAGACAAAGGTCAAAGGGAATCACGTAATGGGTTGAGTCAGGGGAAAAAGAAAGCATTTTTTCTCTCTTCTTTTTTGTTCCAAAACAGTATTTACAGTCTTTATATAGAACTTGTACAGAAGCCAATTTATTTGATATGAAAAAAATGTGAAAGCAGCAAAATGGACACACACACGGTGCACACATACACACATACATGCAGACAAAGAGGTATTTGTGGTGGGGTTCAGAACTCAAATTACCAAGAGATAAAGGAATTAAAATAGTAGGCTGACTTGAAATGATGTGTTTTCCATTTGTACAGAGACTCAGAGAACATTCAGGTCAAGAAAGTCCAGATCAGCCCAACCCAGGTCTACAATAAACAGCTTGGGACTCAAGAGAAACAAAGAAGAAGACAATCAGTGTCTAGCCCTTGAAACTGTCAAATACTAGGGATTATAAAGCAATATTTTGATGAGCAAATGAAAGAGCAAATGTGTGCGAATGGAGGTGATTTTTGTAAGTGCACTGGCATAGGAACTGGAGTGTTTACTAAGGGAGTAAGGTCTTAAGATTCAAGCTCAGTGTTTTCAGGAAAGGGAATGGTTTGAGTCATTCTTATAATTCCTGGTTCCCAGTATAGTCTCTGCCATATAGAATGTTTTCAACACATACTTGTAAATTGAATGAGTATTTTTGACAGTAAAAAAGAACTTGGAGAATCCTGGGCCTTATAGATCATTGAACATGGTGACCATTAAACTTTAACCAGCATCAGAATCACCTGGAGAGGCCCTGCACACAGAATTTCTGATTCAGTAGGTTGGGCTAGGGCCTGAGAATTTGGCCTTTCTAAGTTCCTAAGTGATATTGAGGCTGCTGGTCTGAAGCCACACTTTAAGAACCTGTTTTAGTGTAGTAGATCTGAAATTAAACTGCACATTATAATAACTTGGTAAGATTTTACAACTCCTGATGGCCAAGCTTTACTCTTATTAGTCAAATCAATATTTGGAAAGAGGACAGTAAGGATGAAGGAGGATAGCCAGGAAATGAAAAAAAATCCAAAGTTTTGCAATGGGCAACTGAGATTGAGAACCACTGCTCTAGTATAATGTTCTTACGTAGCTGAGGTGTTTAAAGACCAGAAAGAATAAAAAATTCACTTAAGATCACAGATCAAGTTAATGACTTAGCTGAGAACAGAATTCAGGTGCTCCTGCTTGTGTTTAATTTCTACCATTCCACACTTATCAACCCATGTCAGCTCTCACAGGTTCATAAATCAAGGAAAAAAATGAAAACTGTGTTTAAGTTAAGGTTTTAAGACATCTATTATTTCTTTCCTCCATTGTTTTATAAAGAAATTTTAAGTAGATGCATATTTACAGAACTTTACCACTCCAGACAAGGGAGGAGATAGAAGAGACAGACTTATAGAATATTTTCAGGCAAGATGATCCTTTAAATTTCAAGTACATTCTCAAACACAAACCAAGTGTTCCCTTTGAGTTTTTAAACAGATGTTCCTCATCTCTGATTCAGTGAATGGGCAAGGGTTTGCTTGAGATGTGCACATTAATTGCTGGCATGTAAAGGAAGTGTGGTAAAGTGTTTGAAAGTGGTTCTGTCTCTTACAAAGATTAAAAGTTTCCTTCCAGATTTTGGTTTCCATTAATGATTGGCTTAGTAAAAATAATTTCAAGTAGAGCAGAGATTGTGTCTTATATCATCTTAGAACCAAATAAAGAGCCACAAAAGCCTTACAGAAACATAGACTTCAACATTTTTATCATACAGAGGAGAAATTGACAACACAAATTGAGTACACCAGCTTAGGAGTTTTGAATGGAATTCTCATCCTGGTCTCACTATTTTCTAACTATGTGGTCTTAGTTAACTGCCTTCACATCTCTAAGCCCTAGTTTACTTCCTTGTAAAATGATAGTGATAACAGGGCATGGTCACAGAGAGGATGAAATATGAAGAAATGCAGACTTTAGTCCATTGTCAGGTAGACATGATCGTATCCTAAATGCCCCACAAAAGCTCATGTGTTGAAGATTTGGACCCTAAAATAGCTGTGTGAAGAAGTGGGGCCTTTGGGAGGTGACTGGATCATGAGGGCATTGATCTCATGTATGGATTGGTCCGTTTATGGATTTATAGCTTACTGGGCTTTCAGAAATGGACTGTTAGGAAAGTAAGCTCTCTTTGCTGCCTGGTCCTCAGGAGGTGAGCACCTCTCCTCTGCCATGCTATTCCTGCCATAAGGTTCTGCCTCAGGATAGGCCAATAGCAGTAGGGTCAAGAAACTATGAAGCCTCTGAAACTATGAGACAAAGCAAACCTTTGCTCCTCTAAGTCAATTTATCTCAGATATTTTTGTCACAATGACAGAAAGCTGACTAACACAGAGGAAAATCACTGATGATTTCATCATAGAGTGCCTTCCACATAAAATATAAACCCTAAAGACATTTTAGAAGAAGTAAAGGAAAAATGGCTTTAGAAGTGAATATTAACAATAAGCACTACCTAACGTAAAAGCAAGGAGCACTCCCCAAATAATTATGGAGCCTTAGGGTTGCAAAGAGACCTAGTGATCAAAGTGATCTGAACCTCTTTTCTACCCCAAGAACTACGACAAAAACAAGGAATGTAACTAGACATGTTCACCATCCAGCAAAATTTTCATATAAATGCCCAGGAGTGTGACCAATTCCCAGCCAATTTTCTATAACTTCATCCCCTTTTTATCCACTGGAAAAGCAATCAGAATGCCCAAATTTGCTTCAACTTAATATAGAAAGGAAATAATTAGCCAGCTTTAGTTCTTCCCCTTTCATTAGTAACAAATGACTTTCTCATTGCTATTCACATCCTAACTCCTTCATTTACTGTTGGGAAGACTAAGTTTCAGAGAGGTAAGGAAGATTAGAGCCACACATCAGAGGTATCACCAAATCCAAGCCTCTCCCATCACCTTCCCACTACATCAACTCTGCCTTATTAATGCAATTCTACACTAAACATTGAGGTACATCCCTAGAAGTGAGTATGGCTATGATGAGCCTTTTCCTTCCAAACCCAGCCTTTCCAACTCCCCTCACATTGCTTTACAGCCCACTCCCTTAACCAATTCCCTGGTGGAAGAGTGTACTTACGTGTCCACGAATCTTCTATTGAAGTGTAGGAGCAAGGCCACATCTACCTGGAGAGGAGGGTCACGGACGACTTTATACTGCAGAGACTTACACTGTAGGCAGAGTGGACTGTCTGTAATAGAGGTCAGCATGGCTGCATCAATCTCCAGGTGTTCATCCAGAGTGTAGATTTGGATACCATAAACCTCCTCACGCACATCCCGAAGTCTGATGGTCAGTGGGACATCACAGAAGACATTCTGAGGGCCCAGGGAAATGTTCTTTCCACTGACAGTCAGCAGTTTGATATCATTGACAGCTCCACTGGAGTCCCAGTCGCTGGAAACAAAGGTCACCCAGACAGTCAAAGACTCCGGGACTGAAGGATAGTGGAATTCCAGCTCGAGGTAGCAGCCTTGTGGCTCAGGGCAGGCTGGAGGGACTGTATGCGGGTTGACGGCTGAATTTGGGCTCCAGGTACGGACACTGGATTTACAAGGCTGTTCAACATCTGGATGACCTATGGAGATGAGAGGAGCAAATGAGTTTCTGAGGAGAGTCTTATTCTTGTCCTCTGAGTTTCTTGGGGACCCCAGAAGATGTTGGTCTGATGAGAAGTTAGACAGAGATAAAGGAAAAGGAAAGAGAGTATTCTCAGTGTCATGGTAAATCTACTTTATATAGAGCAGTTGGCTCATTCGCCCCTCCTCCGCAAATCACATCTCCGACAAGTCACCAGATATTTGATTAAAAATTACATTCAAATTTTACTATTGAATCTGCCCAAACTTTCCTTACTAACCTACTACTGGTAGGCTTTGCTGCCTAGCATAGAAAGATATGACACGTAATTGCTGAGTACACTCTATGTCCCATAAACTTGTATAATTCCTGCAAGGACTCATTCTAGAAGTAAACAAACCCAGGTTCAGAAATATATAGTGACTCGAACAAGACTATACACATAAAAGTGTAATGGCCAGTATTAGAACCCAGTTTTGTTTCATTTTGAAATTCCTAAATTTTGTTCTTCTTCTTGTTGGATTCAGGGGTTGGTGATATAAATTAGAATCTCTGTTGTGTAATTACCTTTAGTACAACATGCTTGGACTGACATAAGTGCAGAAAACACCCAGAAAAGAAGTGGTAAACAAGGGTAGCATCCACTCCTTGGACTGAGGGCCTGGGAGGAAACTGAACCATGAATGATGGAGCCCGAAGTCAGCTCTGGAGCCATCTTATCTTTCCTCCTCCCCTTCCCTACATGAGCTCATTCCATACCACTGAACTTCACTGAGATCTGTCCAGTCTGACTCAGACGGGGGGAGTGAATGAGGGAGGGAGGAAGGAAGGAGGGATTTTGCTACTCTTTCCCCAGGGAAAGGATGCCTCCCATCCCAACTGTTCTCAGCCTGCAGAGACTTTTGAATTCTTCTCTGCTGAGGTCACATCTAGACCCTCAGGAGCCCTCCCTTGTACTTCTGAGAAAAGTAGTCAGGACTCAATGTGGCGATTGGTTCTAATTTGCTTAAAGGAGTCTAATAAGAGATACAGATCACTGGAAAGGGTAGGATGGAGGAAACTCAAATTGTCCTAATAGATATATTCTCTCTTTTTCTTTAGTGTTAGTGGTTTTGTGTGTGTGTGTGTGTGTGTGTGTGTGTGTGTGTGTGTGTTGGCAGTTCTAAAACAAAAGGGAAAAGTCAATCTTTGTTTGAAAAAAATACTTTGTGGTAATGTTACAGGGTCACAGGAATCATCACAATACGAACACTGGAAAGCCATTCAGTGTAGAAAAGCTATTCCAGGGAAGGCTTCCTTGTCTTTGTCCACACACACAAGGGAAAAGAAAGAAGTTATCAAGTAGAGATGGAGAAGAGGAAAAGAGAAGAAAAAGGGGCAAAGAAAATGCACAAAGATTTTTTACATAAGCACATCAGACCAAGAAGAGATGGATGCAACTGCAAGATTCCCCCTACCCTTTCTTGACTAGCTTCATCCATTCCTCACAGAAACTGCTGGCTAAAAGCAACCCTTAAGAGAAAAGCACAGGTGAGACTCCCTTCTTCTTATCTATTCTCCATCCCACCACATTTCTGGCTCTCTTATCTCTGTGGACCATGGGATCACATGTATCACTTATTCATTCAGTAAACATTATCAGAGGCAACATTTTACAGCATATGAAGCACATTTCCTAGTCACTACCTGACTCATCTGATTGTCAGCAAACTCCTGTAAGATAGATGGCATTTTTGAGTCTGTTTTATAAGTCTACTTCACTCAGTGTCACCTGGTCTTTGCTTACTACAATGCCTGGTCTGTACATATTGCACATAGCAGATACTCAACTGATCTTTGTTAAATGAAGAACCCTCTCTCTTGTAAATATGCAGTTTACAAAAGTAGTTACAGTATGGAACATTAGAGCCTACAGCCTGAAGATAGGTGCCAAGTGAACATTTCACTCACTCCATGGGTTTTCTCCTGGAATTGGCAAGGGATAAAGTGATCTTTTTCCCTTCCTTGAAGAAAATGACTGTCAGTTGTGGGAAGCCACAGGAGAGCAAAGATGACAAATTTGTTTGGCTCATCCTTTCTCTCTGGTTTCTTGTTAATCAACAGAGGGACCAAATGCTTTCCAAAGGACAGGAAGGTGAGTCTGGTCATTATGCTCATATTAGGTAAATGGGAGTAGAAAACCTAGCAAAGCTTGTACTTATCTGGTCATTAGAGAAAGACTGCTAGATGCATGAAAGAGCCTTAAGGATCATGAAGTCCAACTCATCACTAAGCAGCAATCCCTTTCATAATACCAGGCTTCATAAACTGACCATCCCCCATTTGTAGGCATTGTGCCAAGCACATTACATGCCTCAGCAGTTTTCATTCTGGCAGTAAGTCTATGAGGCAGACCTTATGAAACTCATTTTACAGAAGAGGAAACTGAGCCTCAGATGGTTAAGCAATTCCCTGGTGGGGAGTAGACTATTATGTGATACTGTTGGTCCAGGCAGTGTGCCAGACTTTGAAGCAATGAAAGTTGGGTTAAAATGTCAACTATTCAGCTTCTCATTGTGTTACCTACTGTAACGTCATCTATCTCACAAGGCAATTGTAAAATGCAAGTGGAACGAGATCTTTAATAGATGCTGAAAAATATGTTAGCTCTGTCCTGAAAAGGAAAAAGGAACTAATAAGGCAAATTTGATAGGAGGAGGTACTCCATGCAAAGAGAACAGTTGAGAACACAGGTTGAGATGACTATGGTTTTGAATAGAAGAAGACAGCAGCAAGTGCTGAGGCTGATAAGCTAAGTAGAATGCACATTGTATCTCACATTAAGAAAGGTGAAATTTACATTGAGATTAATGAGGAACAATTGAGAAATTTTTAAGCAGATGAGTGACATAAGATTTGTCTTTTGGGAAAACCACTGTTTGATGATGCAGATAACCTCCATCTATCCATCCATTCATCCATCTATCTATCCATCCATCTGTCTACTCATCCATCCATTGACAGAAAATAAAATTATTCAAAGAAAAATTATTTAACATCAGGACTGTATGCTGAGTTAGATTAGTCCTGGGAACAGGTTTCAGAAATGCTCTCTGCCTTTATGGAGCTTCTAGTCTTGTAAGTCAGTTAGGAGACTCTTGCACTAATTCAGACACTACACACCTATGGTTTGGACAAAGGAATAAAGAGAAATCATGGGTCAGACTTCTTAAGGAGGGAAATGGACACATCTGGAAGACTGGATGTGTGGTTGTGAGGCAGGGAGAGAGGCTATGAAAAGGAAACAAACAGTGGAAGGAAGGAGGGAAAGAAGAGAAGGAGAAAAAAGAGAAAGAAAAAAGGAACAAGCAAGAAAGAACTGCAAAGGTCCCATTACTTTATTATTAATACATATCCTTTTATATAAATGGTAGCTAAATGAAAAGTTCCATGTTTATATAAACTGTCCACTATAAATAAGGCCATAGATTTGTGTAGAAATATATTTACACATACTTTATAAGTCTGTGTGTATGTACACTACAGCTATTGGCATAAATATCATTATAAAGCTTTGATGCTAAGCTTTTTTCCAGATGCATAGTTCAGCACACCTGCAATATTCTGGAAAGAAAAATGGAGAACCTATTCACACAAATAAGAGAAAAATGAAAAGAGCTAGTACCATGTATTAATCTCTCATGGAAAACCTAATTCTTGGAATGATTCATATGCTTACATAGTGATCATAAATGGAAGTTGTATCAGTCAGATTCAGCTATCTAATTTTTGGGCTATAAACACAACAGAATAAATACCTCAGGAAATACTTATCTATGAAATACAGTTTTTGCTCCAGAGATCATATTATAGCCACTGTCTGTGAACAAAGGCAAAATCCTATGACTTTATTTACCTTCTTTGGAATGAAGTTAATGGACTATAGAGAATGTCCAATAAATATTTATTAAATAAAGAATCTTTTATCTTGTTAATATGGAGCTTAAAAATGAACTTACAGCTCTATGAACTATTAGGGTTAGAAAGGACATTATAGTTCAATTGTCCATTATGTGGATAGATACCACTTTGCGAGAAGTTAGGGAACTCACTCAACAGCACAGAATATGTTGACAGAAGGGCTGGGAGCAAGATCCAGTTCTCCTCATTCTCCTCCTCCCCTACTCTTTCCTCAGCCCCACAGATATGTCTGGTATTACTCATGAATTTGGGAGTTTTCTGTTAGTTTGGGAAGTCCAAAAACTTAAACACACAAAGATAAATAGGATGAAAATGAGTTGAGAAATAAATTGCAGAGTTTGGCCCATGGAAAAGTTTATTTCTTCAAGGATATTAAAAGGGTCTGAGCCAAATGGATCACAGAGCCTGTAATAGGATGCTCTAAAAAAAGAAGTGTCTTCCTGCCCTGCATGTACTAAATTTACATAAAAGGAAAACCCAGGGCAACAGGGTTTCCTTGGAAGCAGGAGTCAGCTCAGGGAGCCATGGGCCAGTAATTACATTTAAACTCTGCATTGTATGCCATACTTTAAGAGGGTCAGGGACAAACAAGGAACAGATTTCATTGACTGACAGTAGGTTTTCATGAAGGTATGGGGAGATATCTAGAAATTATATCACTCAAACAAGTGACATTCTCTGATTTTATGAAGAGAAATCTTAGGGTGACCCTCAATAATTCTACCATATATATATATATATATATATATATATATATATATATCTCCTCTATTCTCACTGCCAAAGACCTCACCCAGGACACTACCATTCCTCACTTAGATCTTGGTGATATCCACTAGCTGCTCCCTTTTCTCCAAGACTGTACTCCCCTAATCTCTTCCTTACAGAGCAGCTCAAGCAATCATTATAACACATATCTTACTACATACGTACTCCCCACCAAGACACATGGTGTCTTGTCACTGCTCTCAGTGTGAATTCAAACTCATCCTCACCTGGTCATTATTCATCTCACTTGTCTACTTCTTCCACCCCCCACCAGGCTTTTTATGCTATAAATCCATTTAAACATGTATAAGATTATTGAGGAGTTTTTACTTATATAGTTTATATTAGCACATTGTAAATAAAAACTAAGACATGCTAACACTAAAAAATACATGGTGTGTGTTCTATTAGCTGTCAAAACACTAATAACATCATATATGATCATATGTAGAAAACTCAACTGTACTCTCTGAAGAGAATCAAAGTGGAAAAGGCAAATGATGTCATAGTAATACCATAAAAATAACTTTTGAGTACTCCTTGATAAACCCTTCAGGAACTCCATAAGCCTCTGAACCACACTTAGAAAACTACCATTCTAAATGTATCAGACTTCTTTCACATTCTCAAATATACTTTGTGACACTCATGGGAAACCTGTGTCTTCAGCTCTGGGGAAATCCACTTCCTCCCTTAGCACCCTAGTTCTCTTAACATAGTCCTCTCCACACTGAATGGCAGTTGCCCATTACCTTATCTGACTCCCCCGACAGATGGTCAGTGTAGCATTGTGCATGCACCCAGGATCATGCCCAGCATATAGTCCCCGTGGTAGTCACAGGTGAGAACAGGTTCACTCCATGCAAGCATACAAGGTATTGTCATATGTCAGACACACACAGCTTCTTTTGTGAGATCCTAGTATGGGTTCAACTTGGGTGGAGACGTTATGATTGCAAATTCCAAAAAGAAATTTCTGACAGATGGAGCTAGGACAGGGTGCCAGAGAGCCTCAATGAGGAAGTGCATAGAGGGGATTCCTCCATTGGGTGGGGATTAGAGCTGGATGACCCCAGTCATCACTTTCAAGTCTGACAGACTGTGATTCTGTGAGGCTGAGCTGAGGGTTTCTCCCAGACATCCTCCTTGCTTTACATTCCAGATGGATTTGTTTAGAGTTTCCTAGTTTAACTCTCATTTTTATTTTAAGCTACTTTAGAGAATAAAATACACTGCCATCATTTTTCAACTTCACTTTCCTCTCTGATCTCTCTCCCTTACTTTAGTCTATCTCTGGCTTAATCTTTTCAACTCTCCTTCTAAAAATATAGAGGACAGAGGAGAATTTCTCACTGATGCTTCATGAGGAGATGGATTCTGCTCCACTGGTGAACTAGTGTGATAGTGTCCCCATCCAGTGACTGTTTGCTTGAGTGACCTATGCTAGAGCTCTTGCTAAGAGAGACTGGGTGAGTCCAGGGTCTAGGTGTAAGTTTCCTAGGGCCAAGGATAGGGAGATAGAATGTGGAGAAGAAGGCACGTGTTCTGTGCCAGCCTGTCTTTAGGGACAAGTGACAGAGTACAATAACCAGCATTTGGCAAAAGGTGTTCTCTTCGTTTCTGTAGAATATACAGCAGCTGTTTTCTATATAAAACAATGATGTTATAAGAAAGTACAGCCATTGGCACTTGAGAAGACTGCGAGGCACCCCTTCAAGTAGGTCAGGGTTTGATCACGGGTGAAACTCTGGACAGTGGCAATCAGGAGGTACTTCCCTCAAGTGTCTTGCAGGTAAATAGATCCTCCCATCAGAGAAATTAAAAATAATCATTGTGACAAATGATAGAATGCCTTGTGTAGTATTAAAAGTAGTTTACAGAGAATCAAAGTTGACTAATGCCTTCTTTACAATCACAGGCAGCCAGGGTTCTAGAAATTATATAACCACATAACCATTTCTTTATTAGGTGTGTATTCTTTGACTCTAATTATATCTTGGTTCCTTCATTTTGCCATATGTAAAATGGGGATAGCATACTTAGGATAGTTACAAGTGCATAAAAATATTTGTTGAAAGAATGAGTGCATGAATATTGGCCTTGAAAGTTGATCTTAAGATCAAATAAGATGCTATAGAGAAAAGACCATTGAAATCATAAAATTCCATATGTGTTGAAAGAGTTATTCTCTGCGCACTCCACCTGTAATGAGCTTCCAGAAGTTTGACTTACCTTCTGCTTCCCGAGGGCTCCAGTGTCCTGATGGGCCACAGGGCATTGGGGAGGAGGCATTGAAAGCATATTGCACCAGGATTTTCCCTTCCAGGCAAAGGTCACATGCTGATCCCAATTCTCTAGGAGGCCAAGGAAAGAGGAAAATGCACCGACTTAGGAACAGATGAATGAGTAACTGATGGGACTGGGCCAAAGGTGGCAGGGTGGATGACAGTCTATGTTACACCCCTTTCTGCCTACATATGTCAAGGCTTCTGAAAAATGACTGCATGTGAAATTCCTCTTATTTCCCAGGTCCCTACAATAATTTAATTTTATCTCAAATGAAAAGCTTCACTGAGAATTTGCTTTGGGGTTGTGAGAAAATCTTTTGCCTCATTTTGTCCTTAAAAATGACTCCAGTAACAACATTTCCCACTATGAGCCAGGCATCATCCCATGCCATAGGCATTAAATATGAAGAAGACATGGCTTCTCCATCAGAAAATGAGTGTTCTGGGTAAGATGATGCTTGAGGAACCTTCCAGACCTGACATTCTGGGGATGGATGAGTCATTGCTTAATTTAACAGTCAAAAGCAGTTTCTTTACTATGCCATCTAACTCATTTTAGCAGCTTTCCAAGGGGTGAGCCAATCCCTCAGTGGGACCAGAACCAGAAGTGGAATATTATAGTGGCTTTTCCTACTGTTTGGTGTATTTGGATTCAGTCTCCCTTTGGCCATAACAGCTTCTGGGTTCCTTCTTGTTCTCTAAATTTGACGTCTGTTTAAGAGGTAGTTATGTATGAGGGAGAAGGATGTCTTCTCCTCCTGTATTCTTGTGCACCCTAAACTGCAAATCTGAGTGATCTCTGCTGAGGGTCTAGAAACTGAATCACGAGATAATTTCAAGAACTATCCCGACCCAACCTACCATTTCTCAAAATGCAGGGGCCCTTCTTAGAAGAACATCTATGCTTTGGTTACTTTCAAGGACATAAGGGAAAAGCCAGCTCTCAAGCCTTGTTGCTTTCCCCTCAAAGGAAAATCTCTATACGTCTGGCCTCAGGGTGCTAAGGAAGAATGTGCTTGTAAGCATCATGGTCTCTTGGTGCACCCCACACAGTAGTCAGGCTATCACTCCCAAACCCCAATCTGAACAGATTCCTTGGGTAACTCTAGGCCTTAATACCCTGTTCCGTGGTGTCCAATGCCCTGGCAAAGTATTCTCCCCACTAATAAATTCTGGCAAACTGCCATGTTGTATCATGCTATCCCACCTTCATGTTTTTTCACCTGGCTGATATTTCTCATCTTTCAAGGTTCACCTTGGATATTATTTCCTCTATGAAGTTTTTGCATATAAATGTGCTTCTCTTAATAACTAGAAGGTCCTTGAGAGCCAGGTCCATAATTTATTGTTTGCTTTTTCTCTCAGGATCAGTATAAAACTTAATCCCCAGTGGTGGTCAGCATATGTAGCTGAAAGAATGGATGGATGGATGGATGGATGGATGGATGGATGGATGTGTCATTCAGATACATTGTTAATACTCATGACTAACCTAGTCCAGACCTTGAAATTGCATATTTTGCATTCTCAGCCTTATCATTAAATGTGAACCCATACATAGGTAAAAATTTCTGCAAGCACAAATATTCAGTGACAGGAGAATGAATTAAAAATTCCGTAGTTAAGATTTTAATGGAATAGTCAGAAGTTATTATAAAATATTTATAAAGATTATGAAGTTTCATGGAAAATGTGCAAGCTGTACTATTAAGTGAAAAAGTCATTTGAAGTATAATCTATCATAGTATCTCAATGTTATTCAAATAACCTTGTGTAACAAAATATTGATAGTAATTTCTGAGTGGTGGAACATATGTTGATTGATTTACATCCCTATGTTTGTGCTTTTTATTTTTTGAATTTTCTACATGTTTTAAATACGTATGAGTTACTTTTGGATAAATAAGTACACTAACATAAAAATATACTTGTAGTAAGGAAATTGGGGAGAAAGAGACACTTGTAGCTATTAAATCAGAGAAAGGAGATGAAGAGAGAGAGAGATTACTTACAACGACTACAATTAATGCATAGCATCTCTGAGTCACACAACTGACTTGATAAAGGCAGTGCAGTTGCAAACATCCTGGGATAGATTCTGGAATCATGCTGACCGTGATGGCCATTGAATCTTCTTTTTTCCTTCAGATATTTTGATTTGAGTGATCAAATAAAGTCATCTCAAATTCATTGAGCTCTCAACACACTACAGGTTCTCAAGAAATGCTTTGATGAGTGAACAAATCATCATCCAGTTGACAGCAAATGTATCACATCCTACATATCCAAGAGTGTGTTTCCTACTTTTAACATTTATTTGATTTTCATGGGCACCTACATCTACACACACACACACACACTGAAACTATTTACCTACAGGATGATTATGCTAGGAGAGGTCAGGTTGTGTGAGAGTCAAAGCTCAAAGCTCTAAATCTGTGCTGTTCAATATGGGTGGTAACAGTCACGTGTGACTATTTAAATTTAAACTAATTAGAAATAAACACATTTAAAAGTTCTATTCCTCAGTCATATTAGTCATATTTCAAGTGTGCCATAGCCACAGCTGAATAGTGGCTACTTTCTTGATTAGTGCTGATATAGAACAGTTCCAAGACTGTGTTAAGTCCTATTGGACACTGTGTCTCTAATGCATAAACTGTATATAATGAATTAACTTCTCTCCTTTGTAACTTGAATGGTACTAGTTATGTACCATGTTTGAGAAAATTGTTACTCAAATAATTTTATGTGTTCTAAGATATGGACGAGAAGTCTTGGTTTAAAAAGTCTAGACTCCTTTGGCTTCCATATCAGAAAACCGAGACTGATGAGACAGAGGTTATAGATGAGTTTTCAGAGACTTCAGACCAGGTCTCTTGGTTCCCAGCCCAGTACTCTTTCCAATACACCATAGCCAATTGTTCAGATAACTGAAACCATCCAGTCAACACATGTTTGCAAGACAGATAAAAATAAAGGAGTTAGAAAAACCAGGGGTGGCCTTGTATTATTTATTCAGTTGCCTATGTGTGAGGACACAGGCTGTGGGAGGATCTGAATATGTTTTTTTAAGGGAAACCCTTGTATTCTCTTAGACCACAGATGTGAGAACAGCAGGAGGACATGAGCATGGCCAGGGGCAAGACGTTGGCATTGATGGATGATGTGGAAAACCCCAGAGATTTTGCAGGGAAAGGGAATTCTCAAGTAGCTGAACAGCTCTGGAAAATGTTGCACAAAATGGAAGCTTACGTGTCTAGAGTACAGAGTATATGTGCTTGGAATATCACAGATTTATCTTGTTGCAATTCCCACAAAAGTCAGGTGATGTAGACACCATCAGTGTCTTTTTATGGAAGAGGACACTGAGGATCAGAGAAGTGAGATGGTTTGCCTAAGGTTCCATCCACTGGGAATAATGGAGCTAAGAAGGGAAAACGGATGACCTAAAGTCAAAGCTTGTGCACTTAGCCAATTTGCAGGAGTATAAACTCCATGTGAATGGAAGACTGATATACGTAAAATGCAGTTCCATTTCTTTACAACAATTTATCGATACTTGTGGACCAACTTACTTCAGCTGTAGACTATTGTCTACATAGCCGTTAACCTTAATTAGACATATTTCCAAAATGTCAGTTTTAATTTAGCATATGACAACTCCGTTATGAAATCTTAGACTGAACAGAATAGCTATTGTATGAGCTGCAAGTACCAACTGACTATAGGTTATTAAAAACATATTGATTAAAGCTGAGGGCACCATGTAATAGAAACATATCTTATTACGCAATAATTAACCCTCCAATAGGTTTCCAACAATCAGATGGTATTTATTTAATGGACAATAACTGCTTTATGAAATGCAAATTGAATACATACACAGGAAGCTTCATTTACAAAACTTCCATTTTTAAATGGATTTGAGGCCAAAGCTTGACCAAAAGTCTGATACTTCTCATCACCACAGAAAAAATAAATAAATTTACAGGCTGCTGGAAAGCCTGCTCTGAAGTGTCACATGAGGTTTCCCAAACTCAGCTCTGAGCTCCCAATGAGGGCAGCTGGGCAGGAGAAAGGGAGTTTCTACAGAGAGGTGAGGGGTACAGTTTCTTTCCCATTGATCACACTCACACAGCTGATGAAGGAAAGATAATTCTAGATTCCGGGACTGATGGTGATCTGTAAAACTAGAATCCAAATTTCATGTGGTACCATGATCTAATGTATTTTTAAATATAAAAATACTTTATAAGGTTTGTATTATTATATATTTATGAGGAACAATGTGATGTTTTTATATATGTTTACAAGAGGAATGATTAAGTCAGTCTAATTAACAAAACCATTACCTCTCATTCTAATCAATGTTTGTTGTATAAACATTCAAAATTTACCTTTGGGCAATTTTGAAATATACATTGTACTATTTATTATGGTCACCATTCTGTGCAATAGATCACTAAAGGTTATTTCTCCTAAGTGAAACTTTGTAAAGTAGATAAACATCTTCCCTTTTCCCATCCACACTCCTCCCCTAGCCTCTGCTAGCCATCATTCTACTCTTTACTTCTGAGCTCAACTTTTTAAAATTCTACATATAAGTGAGATCATATGGTATTTGTCTTTCCATGCCTATCTTATTTCAGTTAGCTTAGTGTCTTCAAGACTCACCTGTGTTCTTGTAAATGACAGGATATCTCCCCTCATATTAAAGGTCGAATAATATTCCATATTATTCACATTCTTTATCTACTCATCTGATGGAGGATCCCTCGGTTGTGTCCATATCTTAGCTATTGTGAATAATGCTGCAGTGCAGGTGGGAATACAAGGACTACAGAGTATGTCTTCTATACTCTGATTTCAATTCCATTGGATCTATATCCAGTAGTGGGATTGCTGGATCATATGCTAGTTTTATTTTCAGTTTTCTGAGGAAACTTCACACTGTTTTTCATAACGGCTATATTAATTTAAATTCCCACCAACAGTGTACCAGGTTCCTACTTTACTACACCATTCCTAATATTTGTCTTTTCTCTTTTTGATCTTAGCCATCCTGACAGTGTAAGATGACTTCTTATTGCAGTTTTAATTTGCATTTTTCTAATATTTGGTGAAGTTACCATTTTCAATATTTCTGTTAGTATTTCTTTTAAGAAATGCCTATCGAGGTCCTTTGATTCGCACACACACACAAATACTAAATTGTAAATAGGAGATCTTTTTCACCTTTTTGTGGCCCTTTCATGGGTAAGTATAACACTGCCTTCATAATTCTAGTTTTGGGAAAATAGAACAAAAGCACATGAAAGCCATAGACAGCATGAAATGTGAGTTGAGGTCCAGCCTCTACCATTTCCTATGGGCTATGGAGCAAATTTATCAGTCTCTTTCAACTCTAATTCATTTCTTATCTGTCACATGAAGAATATGATCTATTTTCTACTGGGTTATTGGAATAACTAAATGTATATCAAGCATTTAGTACTAAACCTATTACATAATAAGCACTCAATAAACAGCAGCAACATCAATGGAGAAATACTACTGACTATCAGCATGGCTATCATTTTCACCATCATCAATGTTATATCACCGTTGCTGGATGAAATATCCCAAGAAGGGATGGGGAAATAATATGCTTATATGATCATGGGAGTTATAAAATAGCAAAGTTCCAAATTATAACTAAGTTCTACAATATGTAAACATTGTGGTCTTGTTTTCAAGAATATTTTGTTTTTAATTTTTAATTTTAAAAAATTTAATTGTTTTGCAGTGCTGGGATTTGAACCCAAGATTTTACTCATGCTTGGCAAATGCTCTACCACTGAGCTACATCTCAGCCTATACGACTTTTAAAACTGACTTCTCAAAGTCTCAGCAGTCTCCATTCTGAAAGGAACCACAAGAAGCCATTTATTTCAGGTCTTCACCTTCTGGCACGTAGGATGTCACCAAATCCACTTTCCAGGGGATGAGAAGTGCAGGGAAGGTGACATGTCCAAAGTCATGCAGCTAATTAGTGGCAAACAAAGGAGCGGGATTGAGGTGTTTTGTACCTCAATTTATTATTCCCTGGTTTTCTCATAATTTTCTGTCCTCAGTTTTACAAATAAATACTAGGTATAGACGAAGAAATTTATATATATTATACATATGTATTCATATGTGTGAATACAAACACATTTACACATATATATGTAGACGTAAATGTATATACATATGTATATACCCTTATATATAACATGAATTATATAAAATATAGTATGAAAGGTTTTTCTCATTAACCAGGGGCAATTTTGACTCCTGATCTAATGGAGACAAGACCCATCCCTTCATTCCCAAGGTCTCCAGGAATAGAAGATTCCAAGTTTCTAATAATGAAATAAATGTAAACATCCATTAAGTTAAAAATATGTACCATTACCTATTCATTTCTATTTGTAATCATTCTTTATTCCCTGACCCCACATTTACAACATGCCTATAGGTACAAGTCACTGTGCTAAGTGGTAGGAATACTCATTAAATAAGAACAAGAAATCCACCAAATTCCTCTCCAAGGCTGCTTCCCTTCCAAATTTCCTTCTTCTTGGCAGGAAAAGGAGAGAGGGATCAGCATTTTACAGAGCACACTCACCTTTCAAAGAAGTGGCCGTCGATGGGTGGGAACCACTCCAACGTCACTGAGTCCCTAGTGTGGCCCACAACCTGGGGGGCGAGAGCAACAGGCGCCGGTTTCCTGGAGGGCTGCCAGCTCTGGTACACCAGGTCCAGGTAACAGTGCATTCTGGCAACTTGATTGGGCGTGAAGGAGTCTGTACAGTCGTCATCTGCAAGCAGGCAGAGGGAGAGATAAGCAGCAAAGTCAGGCATGTGAGAGAGGGGTTACATCTCCCAGCACCCAGAGACCCAGCACCCCAGCCTTTCCTTGCCAGTTTGTG